ATTATCCCTACCTCAGTGCACATCTGCCAGTGATGCTACTAGTAGGCAACCGTTGATCCTTCTGGATCATGGTGTATGATAGGTCACCCAGACCTTCAACACATGTGCTTAGGCAGGAGTATGGAGGAATAGAGGCTGCCCACACCACCTTAGGCCATTGAGACAGAATCAGACTGAGTCCAGATGTTTGGTGCCTTAATGCCTGTAGTTATGTGCGTGCCCAGGTCACCCACGTGGCAGACAAGGATTCTACCACTGAACCACAACAGTGTAGACAGTGGTACTAGTAAAATTTATATATATGCATGAAGATGAAGCAAAACCCCAATTGCTTGTGTTCATTAAGCCTGAAATAGTGCATACTGACAGTCTCCCTTTCCAAAGTCATATAGGTCCAAATAAGAAGTAACTTCCTGGCAGATTTGGTTAAAAAACAGACATCACATTTATTCAGTCATTCAGATCACTCAGTCATTCAGATGTCCATGTTAGTTGTTCTGGGATAAATCCTAAAAAAAAGGTTCACAAAATAAGGAGTAACTGGTTATTCCAGGACATTGCAATGTGCATTTGAACCATTATCCTAGGATTGCATCATTGAATCGATGGCAGAAAAGGGCTGGTGCATTCAGCTACTCACTAAATGCTGATTAGAATAGCACCCCAATCTCAATATATTTCTGTTCTGGGACAAAAGTACAACTTGCCCAGGGACAAATGTAGCATCTATTCCTAGCCTTTGATTGGTGATGAGAAAAAAATGTAGATGCTTTCTGTCAATAGTGATTTAATTGCTTATGGTTGCAGTCTTACCACCCAAACTAAACTGTTAGTTCAGGTTGGTAGTAACTTTTCAGGATGCGTGTGCAAACTTGTGCACAATATTTTTAACTTGTACTGAATCCTGACATAATACATGCAGACTGAGTTGTCACAACAGCCATAAAACACAAACATAAAACCTAATATTTTAGAAGTATTTATTTACCTCTACAGTTATTTTTCAGATAAGGATGCTTTTAAATGCTAAGATGAGAGACTTACTAGACTTAGTGTGTGTGTGCGTGTGTGCAAACGCGCGCTTAAAACGTACCTGTTTTGGTTTTCTCTGCTTCTGGTTATAAAATTATATTTTCTGTAACTAAGCAATTACTTCCACTTTGATGGTTCTTCCGTTGTATTAAAGTAACTAGTCATTTTTTAAAATGTAAATTAGTGAACATTTCAGTCTGTGTTGTAAACTTAAGACTCAAAGAATTACATTTTTATGATGAAATTATTTTATTTCAAAAGAGTAATGGATGAGAAAATAAGGAGACTTTGCAAGCTCTATATTCTATGAGACATAGGACTTGGTGAGTGAGGTGCTTGCCTCTACAAAGATGTTTTTTGGGTCTCAGATTTGGGTCTCAAATTTTTGGGTCTCAAATTATAGTGCATAGGAGTGACCTCCCCTCTTTCCACAGACATCCTAGTATCTTCCTGTCAGTGGAAAGAACTTGCCGTTGTCCTCATCATTCACACAAAATATGAATGTGAAGGCAGATAGTATCTCATACGCCTTTGTTTTCTTTTGTTTGGTATTGTGTATTTGCAAACTCCATCTTGGGGTATAGATGTAACTTGCTTGTAGTGTGATAGCTGCCTGGCCATGCCTTTCAGTGTTAGGGAAATTTATTTCATCCACTGGTGTCAGGAAAACTATTTTCACCTCATGAATGCTTTTGGCTATGGAAGGGGAGCAGAGGGCCTTTCTTCGAAAGCATTATATATTTGGCCATAGTTAAGACTAGAGGATTTTGACTGGTAGGCAACAGTGCCCCCCCCCGCCAATACTTAGAAAACTCAAAAGTTCTTGGCTGTAGTGTCTTGCTTTCAAGGCTTTATTGATCACCAGATTTGCAGTTAGTTGGGAAATTTTCTCATCCGTCAGATGGCAAGGATTGAGATTTTGCTTTCCACTGTAGCATGGTTTCTGGTCCTCTTCCTAGGATTCTTTGTGCATCAATTAACAGTGACTACTTCTCTGTCACTGCAGTGGCAAACTACTGGAGTGACTTGGTGTTCCCTGCTTTTACCTGTGGCCCATTGGGTGTTTCTGGCCTTTCTGTGCCTTGTAGTTGTGCAGGAGGGTTTGGAGTGGCCCTTTTTAAAAATCTTTGGGCATGTGGTTGTTTGTGTACCTGTGGAGCTGGACGTGATGGCTCAGGTCTGGTCCAGTCCATTGTCTATGTTTATAGAGGGGGAAACCCCCCCCCAGAAAAAAACACTCCAAATTAGTTGGTGGATGCTGGGGTTTTACTTATGTTTTCATGGTCTCTCTCACTCACTCCTTCCTAATATCTTAACACCCTCCATCATAAGCAAGATATTCTTTTGTTTCTCATTATGATTAAATCCACGTCACTTTGCTGATGTAACAGACATTGAGAGAGTTGCTGTCCTCTTTGTAAGCTGGGAACATGCACATACTTCTTGCGTTCCTTGGACACAATATATGAATTTCCATGTGGTTTGTTTCAGAAGCTGTATAATAAATCTTAATATAAAATGTTAATATAAAATTGCTTAAGAGAAGAAAGAGTTAGACCAGGGTAGTATTATTCTAAGTTTAAAAATCTAGGACTGGATTAAGTGACAGGAGAATTTGAACTGAAGTCCTCCAGAAAGTTAGTTTTTTTAGTAGCTCGATGAGCTGCCCCTTTGCCTGCTTTAAACTTTGCAAATATGTTAGCAGTGTACATATGGTACACACCTTTGTACCAATACTGGGACTGTCTGGAATATTAGGACCTGTCCTTATGACAAGACTTACTATGGCATGCCCTTGCATGACCCTTCCCAACTTTGTCTAGGGCAACAAAGGAGCTCTCTACCCTGGTGGAGTGGTAGGAGTATAGTCATCCTATTCATGCAAAGAAGCAAGCAAATCTCTACAAAGCCACAAATATTCGAGTCATACGTGGACAGCCAGAGTTATTCCAGATTGTCTCACTTCAGGTAGATGGAAGCATAGTTCTTAAGTCGAACAGTACTTGCAAAGCAAAATTACAAGAGTGATTATTGCTGTCAGCTACCCCCTTGCAAATGAGGGAGATTTCTGTTACCATCCTTTTACATCATGCTCTGTTTTGGCTCATTTCAGTCACTCCAGCATCCATTTTTAATATTTCTTTCTGAAACAATTGCATGAAACAAACCATACTTGGCCATTTTGTTACTTCCTGAGTTCAAAATATCAGCAAGAAAACCAGCAAATCTTGTCAAGCAACACTGGCTAATGAAATTGTCTAAGTTATTAGCAGCAACAGAGCGTATTGGGGTCATCTGTTGGCATACTCATTGAGAAGACATTGCATTTTGCATATAATTTATATATGGGAAGCTATCTTTACAGCTGTAAGGGATAAAAGCTTAAATACTATGGAAACTAATGACTTAAACTCTTACACTGACCTTGTTATTACCAAGCAGATTCTTCAATCCCTGTTCCGTGTGGTGTTATATAGTTTGGACTGCTTTCTAGGTTTAAAATATCAGTAAAATGTATAAAATAAATTACAACTTTGTATTCACTCCAAGGCTATTTGTTATGGCTAATAAAAGTTGTGTATCCTTGGGGGAAGATTTTTTTTTCCACCAAAAAATACATCCATTCTTCACTGAACGGATAACAGCATCTCAGCATCTCATTTATAATGAGCAGATCTCAGGTGCACATGAAATAGGGCTTTATAGCAATAATTTTTCTTTTGTTTCATTGCTTTATGCAGTAATGTGCATGTCGTAGGAATCTGCCTTTTTAATTGGAACTTAAGAAATGTAATTAAGCTAAGAAAAAAAATCTTTCTTTTCCCAAATCTTTGTACTTCTGTGAATACCCTGTGCTATTAGTTAACGTGCAGTACTGCATACATAAGAATGTCAAACACTACAGTATTTCCCATATTCATGCTATGAATCTCTGAGACAAAATGATTGCTTTGGGACAAAATGAAAATATGTTATTTGCTCAATTTAATACCGGAATATTCAGTATATTTTTATTGCTACATAAGAAGGATTTTGGTTTTGCAGTTGTAGCTTTAGACTCATCTGCTTGTGGGTGGAACAAATACATATTCATGCAAATTTCAGAAGGAAAAGTTTGCAAGGTGAGACCCGTATTTGCATTCCCTTATGCTGAAAAAATAGAATTGCTCATTCTTTGCATCCTTACCATTTTTTAGTTCTTGATCACAGAATTTGTAAGTTTATACTAACTTGTAAGGTTAAAAAATATGATGTGAAAGGGATGGTTCTTGTTGCATATTGAAGCACTAGAGTCATAGGCAAAAGAACTAAGTGAAAGATGCACAATTTTGGCTGGTCATCAGTAGTTGGTCGATAGTGTTGAGGATGTTTTGTCAATATATATATGCTAATATATGTGTTTTTACACAAATGAATCTTTTTAGTCTATTATTATTTCACCAGTCTTGAAAATAAGTACTACTAAACAAGCATTGTGATAATGAAAAGTTGTCTAGTTCTACATTTTCTCCTGTAAGTACTTTGGTATCTTCCACTGACATGCTATTTTTTAGCTTCTTAAAATAATATTCTGTAGGGATTCACCTTTGGAACAACTTAGTACTTTTTCCTGGTAATCACAGGATGAGAACAACCAGTACATGAGTTTCAGTTAGGATGCCTGAGATGCAAAATGATCATTTATAACACAGAAGTACCCTCGTTTTCTGTTTTATCTTTTCTGAAGGAAACAGAGAGCACTTGTTTCACATACAAGCATTTGTGATGTTACAGTTTAGAGTTCAGGTTTATTACTTTTTAGGTCTGCCAGATTCTTGTGTAAAAACTGCTGTAAAATAAAAGGTGATTCCATTTAATTTTAATCCTCTTGTTGCATTGTAAATGTGCGACTAGACTTTCATTAACTGTAACACTGAGGGAAGGGTTTCCTACTGAAAGAATTAATGAGAATTCTCTCTTTTTTATAGGTTTCTTGCAACCTTTCCTGGAAGCCTGTAGTAACGAGTCCTTTTTCCGTACTTGCTCTGTGTTGCTTCGAAACCCTAAACTAGATCTTCAGATACTGGAAAAACTCAGCATTTTACTGCAAAAGCTCTCCAGAATCAAGTAAAGTTTTTTCTTTGGTTGGTTTGTTAAGGGTTTTCAAGCTGTCTTTGTTTTCAGTTATCGAAAGCTGTTTTCTTCATTCTCTTCTTCCCAATGTCTATAGTTCCAGCAGTATAACAGATTATTAGCTGTAGCGTGGGAAGTACCTAAGTTTCCTTGCCATTTATTACATTAAAGCACAGCTTTTCCCATCATAAAAATGAATCTTTAAGTTGCGTTTGTAAAGAGCTTAAAGATCTAGCACAGCACAGCTTACAATGAGTGTAAAACTGTATTGGTCTCCTGAGCATTTTTATTTTATATTTGAGTTTTCCTCTTGTATACTGATGAATTACCTTCTAAAGAATGACTTCATTTTTCTTTCCACTGACCCTCAGTAATATCATTTTTTCCAGGTAATATATTCCAAAGGGCTAAAGGTGACTTGGGAGCCAAAAATCTTATCTGTTTTCAAAATCCAAGTGCCTTTTGAAAATAGAGATGTTCCTAAGTCACTTGAGTCTTTTAAAAATGCTGCCCTCTTTTCAGTAGGACTGTTTCCTTGATTGTTACTTTACAAATGTATTACAACAGCCATTTTCATTAATGGTGGTATGACAACTCTTACTGAATTCCTCCAGTACATTACTTAGTAGGATTACTTCCTTATAAAACAGAAAATTGAAGCCCTGTACTAAGATTCGGTGGAGGAAAAAAACTGGCAGCAAATTGAGGATGTGTAGTTTAGTTTGGTTCTTCTCCATGAAGATGAAAACTAACTCTCAGTGGAAAAAAAATAAAATAAAAGTTTCTGAGTTCAAAGAAAATTCTAAAGTAGCCAATATTTTTCACCCAAAATAATTTAAAATTTTATTAGGATTTTCATACAAGACTTCTTAACATTCTGTAAGTCTGGGAAAAAAATCTTGCAGATGGTAGAAGTTTAGAGTTGGATTTCTCTGCAGTATTCTTGAGTATCAGTTTTCTCTGTACTTTCAGGGCAGTCGCTCTTTTTTTCCTAGGTTTCTTTTATCCACCTATTTGCCTTCTGATCTCTCCCTATACTTAGTCTATTTCCCAGTCACTCTTTCATAGGAATAAAACCTTGCTTCACCTTGAGTTTTCTTTGCACTACATTAAAAAGCCACTTATAAATGGAGAGGAAAGTTCCTGATGATTTTTGTATGCATGTCTCCCTCCCTTCTTTCCACCTCTGCCTTCTTCCCCTTCCTTCCCGTCCCCCCACCTCTGCTCCCTATACCAGAGCCATATCAGCTTGGACAGTTATCCTTCCTGGAAATGTTAAAGGAGTACGTTCTTTAAATTCAAGATATAACCCAGATTTTGATTCAATTAAAAAATCAGATTCTCTGGAATTAATTACTTAAAAAAAAAATTGAAATTCTCTTTTTACCTTTTAAAAAAAATCAAATGATTATTTAACTTTGACTAATGCTGTGCTAAAATCTTTTGCAGAAGTAATAAGAAGATGTTTGAACTATTTACTCTTCACCTAATGATCCAAGAGCTGCAGAGGACAACACATCCAGATCATGCTTTTCTCTCTATTAACCTCAATTCAATTCTTTTTAATTTGGGCTTAACAAAGAGCAACTCCCTTGTCTCCAGTCTAAACACAAGTCACTAATTAACCATATTTTACTGTGAATTATTTTGTATTGATATTTGTTCAGTCTTTTGCTAGTTATAAAAAATAGGCTAGCTAACAAGGACATCAGGATTTTATTTACTATTCAATGTGTAGTTTATGACTTACAACATATTACCTTCATATGAACTCATGAAAATGGAAAGTAGTACATTTCAAAATACTGTTTGTTCAATTTAGCTGAAATTTTGCTCTAGATTTCAGTGGCCTGTACTGTCCTACTCATTCACCCCAAGCAGCACCATCTCCACAAGGAGACTTCTAGTATTAGCCTTCCTCAGTGATGTAAAGTTAATTATTCCTTTTAATCTTCAAAGTGTTTTACGGGTATTTATTATAATTATCACATAATAGAGAAACATTAGTATTTTCATAAGTATATATCAGAAAGATGATTGTTTTGATTATTGAAGCCAAATTTTGGTAAAATTAAACATGCTACAGATGTGTATGATTTGATGTGCATTGAATAAAAGCCTCTGTGATTCCAATAGTTCCAAGAATTGTTGTTCCATAATCTCTTCTTTCTAAGACATGTTTACTGTATTTTGCTGGGTTTTTTAACTCAAAATGATACTGATTTAGTATTTCTGTATAGTTTTTAATTGTAGCATTCCAATGCTAAATGTGAATAAAAGTATTTCTTAAAGAAAACATATTGATATTGCTCCATGCAAAAATTGTAATCTTTTACCTAATCCATTTTCTGTTGATTTCCAAAAAGGGCCCAAGTTAGTCCATGTTCTGACTTCTGCATGCACAAACTTGTGTTTTTTCAAGGTGTCATGTACCTAACACTGTACTGCTGTTCAAAAAGTACCTAGGCAGAGAAAGTGTCACTTTTTGAAAACTTGGCCTAATAATTGTCTTTTATGTCCCGCTTCTGTAATTGATTATATCATTCTGCCATGACTCCTGCAACTCCTTAGAATTATAAATTTGAAACTGCATTTACAGTTTAAAAAGGTGCCATAAGTCTGTGTTTGATTAACACTGTTGTAACAAGGGCTGGCTTTAGGGGTGGCCATAATGCCCCCTGGTGGCCACTCAGCCTTTATTTCTCCCTGTCCTTTAAGCATTGTCCCCTTCTGCTCACCTGCTATGCCTGGAAGTTAACATGTATTTAGAAATGGGAGGCTGCCCCAGGGATCCCTGAACAGGATGTTTTCTGCTCACAAGCCATGGTCAGCCAGCCTACTGCCTTAAAGGCAATTTCATGACGTCCTCATCTCCTCTTTTAGTCACACCCATGCCTTCTAGATGTTACCAGTTAATCAATTATCAGTCTAATGGGCCCTCAGCCCTAGTCCCCCTCACTCTCTTGGCCCCCTCCCTGGACCCTGGGCTCCCTAGGCTCTTTTGTGCCCTGCTTCCAAGCTCTGGCCTCACTCCTAGACTGTTCTGTCCTTCCTTTGCCCTGTTCCCAGGCTCTAGCCTTACTTCCAGGTCTCTGGCCCTGCTCCCAGGTCTGCTGGGACCTCCTCCCCATATTCCTTCCCTAACCACCAATTGCTGGGACCTCCACTTCCCCTTAGTCCCACCCTAAATCACTGATGTTACTCAAGCCCTAAGGCTGTATTACCTATAGGCTTTCTTGATGTCCATCAGGAGCCTCTCTCTCTAGCCTGATAAGGAGCTCCTCTCACATCAGTCTCCAGGGCTACACTGCCTGCCCAGCTCAGGACCAAGGCTTATATACCCCTAAGTCTGGCCCCCTTCTGATCAGGTGTCCCCTGATTGCTGCCTGCAATTTCTCAGCAGCATTTCCTCCCCTTAAAGAAACAGGTGCCCTAAGCATCCTGTTACACCTGTCAGTCAATGTGACACTTCACTGGGCATATCTACATGTGCATTTACTGTTCAGTAAGCAGCTTTTACACTGGCACTACATGTTCAGGTGTTACAGCACAGTAATGCTGTGTATGTACTAACTTGGACTAAAGTTAGTCCCAGGTCAGTCCATACAAACAGGGTTACTGCGCAGTAAGGTGTCTACACATGCCTTACTGCACGGTAACTACTTGGGCCTTTGCTACCTGCATCATGCAAATTTATGCTCAAGTCAGCGTAAGTCCACCATAGTTACTGTGCAGTACGGGGGTGCATGTATCTACATGTGCCCGTACTACACAGTAATTTCAGTTACTGTGCCGTAACCTAAGTTACGGCACAGTAACGGTGCATGTGTAGATGTGCCCACAAAGAGTCACTTTTTTGCCCTTTAGAATTTTCTGTGTTTTTCTTTGATGTTCGTTTTGATTCATACATTTTTACTGGGAAATCTTTGAAATTGGCCTGTGATAGAAAATTTTCCTTGTCAATCTGACCTTTCAATGTTGCTGATCTTTTTACAAAAAAATCAAATTTGGTAAATGGGTTCTATCCAAAATATAAGCGCATATTTCTGAAAAAAAATGGGATGACTTTTAGCTGTAGTTTGTCATAGATGATAATTTGTGCAAAGAATTGCTGATGTATTAACTCCTTGAATAAAACCATCTCCATCAGCAGCTATGCTTTCCTGCCAGATTTTATCCAGCAACGCAGAAGCTTTCATATGCCACTTATCTGGCAGATAAGATTTTCTTTATTAGTAGATGTATTTCTCGGCCCATGTTTTCTAGCCCCACATAAGCACTTGTAAACATGATAGTAAATTAATGTGCAGAACTGGTTTGTGAAGCTGTTACACGCAGAATGTTAATTCTGCTCTCCTAGTGCTGACAGTCTTGGCCGTTGCCTTCACTAAACCCTTCCAGGGTCAGCAAGTACTGCACTGAACATCCCCAACTATGTTTCGGTAATTTGGTAGAGGTGTTTAAACGGTGTTTTGGAGCATACAGGATTGTTGCCATGGCATATTTTATGGTATCTTGTATTAGCTGCAATGTGTTAAGAGATGTAATGTCACTGGAGATGAGTTATGAATTAGTGGGTAGATTAACTTGATTTTCTTCATTTGGGGTTTTTTGTGTCAAGTATCCAGCAACTTTCAAGTGCTTCACAATTATTTTTTTACTTAGAAATGGAACTATATTTACCCATGTTCTTAAAAGGGTTATGGCAGATGTTCTACTACTACACAAAATTTAATGATACTATCCACTCTCTAGAGAAGAAATGTATTGATGTGCACTTGGTTTTTGGTATTCATATAATGTAAGAATAAAACTGTTACTGGAAGTAATTTTTGCATAATACAATATCTGAATCATGAATGCCTGGTGCACAGACACATGTGGTTAAAAAGAACTAAAAGCTGTAATTTAAGATGGAATTTTTAAAAGTTTATGCATGATTTTAAATACTGAGTTTAGCAGTTTTTCTTGTGTGCATAGTTGTGTTTCCTTTTAATCTTTTTCAGTGTATATTAATATCTTGTGTACGTGTATACAGTGCTGTAGATTCGTATGAAAGTTAGAACTGTGAGTACACAAGTGCATTTTTTAATTGGACCCTGAAAATGCATTGCTCTTGGACATTAAAAGATAAAGCTATACAACTTTTTAATGAAGATAGTCAAAAGAAGGCAAACCATAGAAAGTCTGATATCTCAGTTTAGGAAGTGGCTTTGTTAGCACTATCATTCATTCAAAAGTAATTTGTCAAACTGCAAAAAAGTCATGAAATTAATAAATCACAAAGGTAAGGTTCTGTGTATTTGTTTTTGCTGATTTAAGTGCTGAGAGTTCACATTTTTGAACTTTTATTTGCAACCATGAGGACCAGCTACTTTTAAAAAATGAAAACTTAGATTATATCAAAATGATGTGGGTGCAGGATCTGATCATTAAGAAAAGCACTAAAGTTAAAGAAACTTGGAATAAAAATCATGAATTGCAATATTTGATCTGCTGTATTCCACCTTCATAGATGTGTATGATGATGACGTAAGCTAGACATTCTCTTTGACTTTCCACTTTGCTGATATACCAGAGTTTAAATTGCCATTATATACAGAAGGAAGTGTTGAAACAAGGTACAAATCCAAGTAGGGTGGAAACTACTTTCACTTGTACCTTGTTTTTTATAGGCAAATTGAAACTATTTAGCTTCTTCCCCATATTGCTAGAGTGGGCATTAAACAAAAGTAAATGTCTTATTTGTAAGAGGGCCTAATTTGCATTACCTTACCAGCAGCCAATTGCCCATTTGGTTGATTTTGTACCTTAACTTGCTGTAGTTCACATTCATTGTGAGGTCCTTTATTTTGTAAATTATATCCATCCTTGTTTTAATTAATCTTGATTTCCTCTCCCTTGCCTGCTGGGTTTCCCTCTGCTCTGTAGGGGTTTCCTAATTGAATATTTCCCCTGGTAGCAGAAAGACTTTTTCTTCCACAGAAATGGAGAAACAGATAGTAAGGCAGGCTTGAAATCTTCCCCTCTTCCTG